AAATTGCCAATTTCTGACCACTTTATTGGATAGCTGAAATCAGTAAATGGGTAGTTTCTTGTACTCATTTGATAGAAAAATGGAGTTCTAGTGAAATAGTTATGATTTTTGCCGACTGGTACATTGGAATTGGCTGAAAATATGGCTCAAGTCTGCGAAATTGCCGATGAGTAAACATCGTCGAGACCGCTAACTTCACGAGAGCATAATTCCATAAGTTTTCCATCAAATTTCATACTTTTGGTGTTATTATGATCGGGAAAAGATTCTTTATCTTTTCATTAGAAAAAATAATTTTTTTTTTTTTTCAAAAAATTTCTGACCCTCAGAACAAGTTTAGGAGAGGGCCTGGCGACCCTGAAAGGGTTAAGCTTGCTCTTAGGGGTGGAGAAAAAATATTTTTTATTTTTTCTTTTGAAATGGCAGAGAATCTTTATCTCAAGTTAATAAAAGAAAAAGTACCAAATTTGATGGAAAACTAATGAAATTACGCTTTTGTGAATTTTGCTGTGTCAGCGATATTTACACTGGCGATTTTGCCCACTTTGAGTCAGATTTTAGGCCAATCACATTACAGCTTTTCCTCACTTAACCCTGTCCAAACGTACATCTACGTTCGTGTGCATAGCGCTCCGACCTTTATTTTCTCCATTTGAAAGCGTGTAAAAAAAAGTAGATCTATGTTCAGAACGCTACACATGTCAACATTTAAGGGTTAATGACTGGGATGCGTTCCAAAGAGTAGGTTGGTAAGCAAACTGGTTGTTAGATGAGGAGCATACTATACTGGTAGTGGGTTTGTGTCAACCATCTTCAGATATTTTTTAAGATCACCTTTACACCATTTATAACATTTCTGGTATATTTTTAAATGTTTATACAGTAGTGAACTGTATATTGTAATGAACATAATAGAGGAAATCAACTCTAAAATATATTATTTAGGTATGCATACTGGTCAGAGCCTGTCGTAAGTCCAAGGCGTCGGTAAAAGTACATCACTAAGTGAGGAGAGGCCGTATATCTTCCAGTCTATCAAGTGAGACCAAGAAACAAGAATACAACCATAAAAAACATACAAAAATACACTGCTGTTGCTGTTTTAAGTCAAAAACACAGTTGCAGTTTTTTCTCCCCATTATACACTGCTTGCTGAAGATTTTTTTTTTATTTTTTTTTTCAACAAACTGGCCGTATCCCTCCAAGGCAGGGTGGCCCAAAAAGAAAAACAAAAGTTTCTCTTCTTAAATTTAGTAATTTATACAAGAAAAGGGGTTACTAGCCCCTTGCCCCCCGGCATTTTAGCCGCCTCTTACAACACGCATGGCTTACGGAGGAAGAATTCTGTTCCACTTCCCCATGGAGAAAAGAGGAAATAAACAAGGACAAGAACCAGAAAGAAAATAGCAGAAAACCCAGAGGGGTGTGTATATACAGTGGACCCCAGAGTTTCGTTATTAATCCGTTCCAGACCCTGCCGAAAGTCGAAATTCATGAAACTCTAAACTATTTTCCCCATAAGAAATAATGGAAATAAAATTTATCTGCTCCAGACACCCAAAAATATTAAAAAAAAAATTTCAAATTAAATAAAGATTTACATACTGAAAACAATCAGAAATCAAGTACATGCATATAAAAAATAATAACATTACACTTACCTTTACTGAAGACTCCTGGGTGGATGGAAGACGGGAGGAGGAGGTAGGAGGAAGGTGTACACTATTGCTTGTAAGGAGAATCTCCTTCCATTAGGACTTCAGGTACCAAGTCCTTTTCTGGGGTTACTTCCCTTCTTTTAATGCCACTGGGAACAACTTGAGAGTCACTGGACCCCTGTCGCACAAAATATCTGTCCAGAGAGGTCTGTTTCTGGCATTTCTTTATGATTTGCCTGAAGTGGGAAAAGGTTTTGTCACTGAGCATGTTGCAGATATGGCTTGTTTCAGCTTGGTCAGGGTAATACTTTTCAACAAAACTTTGCAACTCATTCCACTTTGAGCACATGTCCTTAATCACCGAAAAGGCACTTCCTTCACTCTCTTTTCCTCCTCCTCTGAAGCAAGTTCCTCAGCTGTGGTCTGATGCTGTTCCAGTTGAAGCTCTTGCAGTTCGTCAGTGGTTAGCTCTTCCCTGTGGTCCTCCACCAACTCTTCCACATCCCCGTCACTCACCTCCAACCCCATGGACTTGCCCAATGCCACAACACCTTCCACAACAGGCAGAGGGTCGGCAGGGTCAGGGTCTGCCTCCAACCCTTCAAAATCCCTCTGGATCGTGTTCTTCACTTTCTTTACCAAAGGACTTGCACTAGCTTTCCTTGGACCCATGGTGACTTATGTAGCAGTTGCAGTCACAAAAAACAATGGATTATTACGTATGAACCCGCGGGATGGTCACGTGTTGGTAAACAATGGCACACTGAGCGTGAGTGGAGTGGGAGACTGGCTTTGTGTGCACGGTGACGGCTGGATGGGTACTGGACGATTGCCGAATCACGAGTCTAATCATGAAACTCGAGGCCAAATTTTGCCGAAAAAACTTGCCGAAAGTCGAATTTCACGAAAGTCGATGCAGCTGAAACTCGGGGATCCACTGTATATGCTTGTACATGTATATGTAGCGTGACCTAAGTGTAAGTAGAAGTAGCAAGACATACCTGAAATCTTGCATGTTTATGAGACAGAAAAAAAAGGACACCAGCAATCCTACCATTATGTAAAACGATTACAGGCTTTCGTTTTACACTCGCTTGGCAGGACGGTAGTACCTCCCTTTGCGGTTGCTGTTTACCAACCTACTACCTATAAGAATTTTTATATGGTGCACATTTACAGCATAGACATTCTCTCACATCTAGGTCCAAATTTACCGCTCACTTCTTATCTAAGTGAAATGAACTCATGGCATAGAACCATGGGACCAACCTGGGTTTCAAAGTTGTAGAACAATGGGACTCGCTTAAAGGGTTAAAATAGCATATTTTAAATAAAACTAGAATAAAAATTAAATAAAAAGGAAACCTAATGTTTTATAGTGTGATCAAGTTGGTGAGAAAATGATCAGTCATTGGTTACAGCTATATAAGTGCACATAGCAGTATTTATTCATGCCAAATTATGATTGTTTTCATTTTTTTTCAATAACACTACTGTATGTACACTTGCTCATGAATAATTAACTAAAGTGCCAATGTCATAAGTCAGAATGTTTTAAGTGAAGGCACTACTGTACTCATGGTTTTGTATTCACTATACATGAACTGCTTCAAGTTATCCAGGCTCTACATCCTGAGACTACTCCTGACCAGTTTCTTCACTTACCTATCCAAAATGAGGACCTTCTGTAATCTGATACTGAAAGATTCTGGTATAGCTAAACCATGCTCTTTAGATCTGAAGTTATAAAACAGCTCACTAATTTTGCATAATATCCAAAACTATACTAGGCAGTAGGTTGGTAGACAGCAGCCACCCAGGGAGGTACTACCGTCCTGCCAAATGAATGTAAAATGAAAGCCTGTAATTGTTTTACATGATGGTAGGATTGCTGGTGTTTTTTCTGTCTCATAAACATGCAGGGTTTCAGGTACGTCTTGCTACTTCTGCTTACACTTAGGTCACACTACATATACATGTACAAGCATATATATACACACCCCTCTGGTTTTTCTTCTATTTTCTTACTAGTTCTTGTTCTTGTTTATTTCCTCTTATCTCCATGGGAAGGAGGTGAATGTATTCAGATATTTGGGAGTGGACATGTCAGCGGATGGGTCTATGAAAGATGAGGTGAATTACAGAATTGATGAGGGGAAAAGGGTGAGAGGTACACTTAGGAGTCTGTGGAGACAAAGAACTTTGTCCTTGGAGGCAAAGAGGGGAATGTATGAGAGTATAGTTTTACCAACGCTCTTATATGGGTGTGAAGCATGAGTGATGAATGTTGCAGCGAGGAGTAGGCTGGAGGCAGTGGAGATGTCATGTCTGAGGGCAATATGTGGTGTGAATATAATGCAGAGAATTCGTAGTTTGGAAGTTAGGAGGAGGTGCGGGATTACCAAAACTGTTGTCCAGAGGGCTGAGGAAGGGTTGTTGAGGTGGTTCGGACATGTAGAGAGAATGGAGCGAAACAGAATGACTTCAAGAGTGTATCAGTCTGTAGTGGAAGGAAGGCGGGGTAGGGGTTGGCCTAGGAAAGGTTGGAGGGAGGGGGTAAAGGAGGTTTTGTGTGCGAGAGGCTTGGACTTCCAGCAGGCATGCGCGAGCGTGTTTGATAGGAGTAAATGGAGACAAATGGTTTTTAATACTTGACGTGCTGTTGGAGTGTGAACAAAGTAACATTTATGAAGGGGTTCAGGGAAACCGGCAGGCCGGACTTGAGTCCTGGAGATGGGAAGTACAGTGCCTGCACTCTGAAGGAGGGGTATTAATGTTGCAGTTTAAAAACTGTAGTGTAAAGCACCCTTCTGGCAAGACAGTGATGGAGTGAATGATGGTGAAAGTTATTCTTTTTCGGGCCACCCTGCCTTGGTGGGAATCGACCAGTGTGTTAATAATAATTATAATAATCTCCATGGGGAAGTGGAACAGAATTCTTCCTCCGTAAGCCATGCATGTTGTAAGAGGCGACTAAAATGCCAGGAGCAAGGGGCTAGTAACCCCTTCTCCTGTATATATTACTAAATGTGAAAGGAGAAACTTTTGTTTTTCCTTTTGGGCCACCCCACCTCAGTGGGATATGGCCGGTGTGTTGAAAGAAAGAAAGGAAGATCCAAAACTATACAAAACTGTATCAGTAAAAAAACAATGTATGTAAAAATAGCCAGTAAGTAAAAAAGGGGAGTTTTTGTACACACTAATAATCACCCTTTAACTGAAAAATATTTTTAAATTTAAGAAGTAATACTACTTTGTCTCTTTCCTATCACTTTATTCATTAATAGAGCTAGTAGATCAATGATACTTCAACAGTGAGCTTGTATACATATAATGACTTACATTGAAAAGCTTCTTAGCATGTGTTTTGTCCATTTTGATGTTTAACTGCTTAAGCAAATTGCAACATTCATTAAAATTAAGAGATCCATTGTCGTCTTTATCAGCTTCTTCAAACTGTTTCCGTAACCACCTGTACGAGAAGAAAATTAAAAATACAAATTTTACTAATAAAATAAGTTAATACAATACACAATATTTGTAAATATTTTACACCAAGGTGACTAAGTACATCTGTAACTAGTTAATGGACCAAAATCTGGTAAAATAGTTGAGGTTCACCTCTAGTGCAAATTGTGAGGACCCACAGCCTCAGAGGTAGATAAAAAAGCTTCAAGGAACACTTTATATTTAGTCTTTTTGTTGAGTTATTATAGGCTTTAGATGATCTGCTTTAGATAACTGGCACAAATACCACAGGTAAGGTAACAATAGATTAGAGAGTAGTACCAAGTAATGGTATTTGAGGTACATAGTAACATATTTTAGAAAGGATACCTACTGATTTGGAGACCTTTGTTATGTGATGAATGTGTGTGTTGAATTTCAAGCTGCTGTCAAGACAGACAAAAATTTTCCCTCAGTTTGTCTTAGAATAAGTTAAACATTAAACATTAACCAGCTCTGTTCCCAAACATCACGTAGGTCTTGTCGATACTGAGTGAGTTTATTGGTAGTCATCCAAGCTCTTCATGAACAGTGTTACTGAGAAAATTCAGGTCTGAGTGGGAGATGACAAAAGTTGTCATATGCAAACAGAACAGATTTAATTGAGATGCATTAGGAAGAGCATTAATGTATACGAGGAAAAGCAGAGGGCCTAAAGCTCAGCCCTGAGGCACCCCTACGTCAATAGGTCAAGTTGAGGTTATGCCCTTGATGATGACATTCAAATAAAAATAAAAATTTAACTTACTTGCTAAGGTTACAACGTGTGTTTGCATTTCATAATTTGATTGGTACAAAGAAAGCCACTATCGTGCCGAGGCATTTTGGACAGACTTAACCTAATACTTAAAGACTACTTAAGTTTAGACAAGTGAAGAGTGGTAAATTACAAATATTCAATATTTTACTCTATTATTAATATGAGGTAGTACAATTTATGATACAAACATACATTTTTAAGTTTGTAATAATGGCTTAATAATTAAGGAATAACAAAATATTTGGGAGAGTTGCTTCAAATTTGGTTAGAGTTTAGCATAGTGTGGGTATGGTTGTTATTGAGAGAGGAGGTGATTTTTGAGTATAGTCCTAAACTGATTTGTGGGCAGGGGACCTCTTGCTGTTTTGGGCGAAGATTTCCAGAACTTTGGGCCCTTTATGTCCATTGCATTTTTGCATAGTGCGAGACATACACGAGGGATGTCAAAAAGTGTTTTGTGCCTCGTGTTATGCCTGTGTGTTCTGTTGAAGCTGTCTAGGAGAAGTTTGAGTGGAGGGTTGATATTGGAGTATAATGCTCTGTATATAGCCTCTCCTCACTTAGCGACATACTCGTTTACCGATGCCTCGGACTTACGAAGGGTTCTCTGACCAGTATGCATGCCTAAATAATGTACACTAGAGCTGATTTCCTCTATTCTGTTTATTACAATATACAGTATAGTACTGTATAAACATTTAAAAATATATTAAAAATGTTATAAATGGTGCAAAGGTGACATTAAAACAATATCAAAGATAGTTGACACAAACCCACTACCATCATAGCAAGCTCCTCACTTAGTGATGAATTCGTTTACTGATGTGGTCTTGATAACGGAGCTTCATCATTAAGTGAGGAGAGGCTGTACATAGTAGGCACAATAATAATTGTATACAGTGGACCCCCGCATAGCGAACTTAATCCGTGCAAGAGGGCTGGTCGTTATGCGAAATGTTCGCTATGCGAATTAATTTTCCCCATAAGAAATAATGGAAATAAAATTAATCCGTGCAAGACACCCAAAAGTATGAAAAAAAAATTTTTTTACCACAAAAAAATGTTAATTTTAGTACACACAAACTGAAAAAGGCATGCACAATTACATGACACTTACTTTTATTGAAGATCTGGTGATGATTGATGGGATGGGAGGAGGGGAGAGAGAGTGTTAGTGTTTAGAAGGGGAATCCCCTTCCATTAACACTTGAGGAGGCAAGTCCTTTTCCGGGGTTACTTCCCTTCTTCTTTTAATGCCACTAGGACCAGCTTCAGAGTCACTGGACTTCTTTCTGTCCATAGAGCTCTGTACCTCCCGTTCCTTTACGATTTGTCTAAAATGGGCCATAACATTATCATTGAAATAGTCACCAGCACGCCTTGCAACAGCTGTGTCAGGGTGATTTTCATCCATAAAGGTTTGCAGTTCAACCCACTGTGCACACATTTCCTTAATTTTTGAAGTAGGCACAATGGATTCCACAACTGGCATAGGCTTCTCAGGGTTAGCCCCAAACCCTTCAAAATCTTTCTTAATTTCCATACTAATTCTCACCCTTTTTACCACAGGGTTGGCACTAGAAGCTTTCTTGGGGCCCATGGTCACTTATTTTCAACAAACAGAACCGAAAACACTGTAATAATACGAAATATTCCGAGTGTATGCTTGAATGTTACCGCGGAGGCTAGCTGGTAAACAATGGGACAGGCGGCACATGTGAGGCTGGCTGAGGCCGCACATTGGACGCGTCTCGGACGAAGTTCGCTGAGCGGGTTTTTGTCTACTATGCGGGGCAAAATTTTAGCGATCAAAGCGTTCGCTATGCGGAATGTTCGCTATGCAAGGCGTTCGCTATGCGGGGGTCCACTGTATTTTGAAAACTGTCAAAGTGGGATGTTTGAATGTGCATGGATGTTGTGCGAATGATAAGAGATGATTGTGTATGTTATGAGTGAAAAGAAGCTGGATGTCCTGGTTTTAAGTGAAACAAAGCTGAAGGGGGAAGAGTGTTTCAGTGGGGAGAAATAAATGGGATTAGGTCAGGGGTTTTAAACAGTCAGAGCTAAAGATGGAGTAGCAATAATGCTGAAGGATGAGTTATGGCAGGAAAAAAGGGAATAGTATAAATGTATAGATTCAAGGATTATGTGGAGTAAAGTAAGGGTTGGATGTGAAAAGTGGGTTATAGTGTTTATGCACCTGGAGAAAAGAAAAGGGAGAGAGGGAGGGAGGGGGAGAGAAAGAGAGAGAGAGAGAGAGAAGAGAAGAGAGAGAGAAGAGAAAGGGAAAAGAGAGAGAGAAAGAGAGAGAGAGAGAGAAAGAGAGAGAGAGAGAAAGAGAGAGAGAGAAAAGAGGAAAAGAGAGAGAGAAGAAGAGAGAAGGGAGAAGAAAAGAGAGAGAGAAAAGAGAGAAAAGAGAGAGGAAAAGAGAGAAAGAGAGAGAGAAAGAGAAGAGAAAGAAAAGAGAGAGAAAGAGAGAGAGAAAAGAGAAAGAGAGAGAGAAAGAGAGAGAGAAGGAGAGAAAGAGAGGAGAAGAAAGAGAGAGAGAAAGAGAGAGAGAAGAGAGAGAGAAGAAGAGAGAGAGAAGAGAAGAGAGAGAGAAAGAGAGAGAGGAGAGAGAAAGAGAGAGAGAAAGAGAGAGAGGAGAAGAGAGAGAGAGAGAAAGGAGAGAGAGAGAGAAAGAGAGAAAGAGAGAGAGAGAGAAGAGAGAAGAGAGAGAGGAAGAAGAGAGAGAGAGAGAGAAGAGGAGAAGGAGAGAGAAGAGAGAGAGAGGAGAGAAGAGGAGAGGAAAAGAGAGAGAAAGAGAGAGGAGAGAGAAGAGAGAGAGAGAAAGAGAGAGAAGAGAGAGAGAGAGAGAGAGAGAAGAGAGAGAGAGAAGAGAGAAGGAGAGAGAAAGAGAGAGAAAGAGAGAGAAGAGAGAGAGAGAGAGAGAGAGAGAGAGAGAAGAGAGAAGAGGAAGAAAGAGAGAAGGAAAGAGAGAGAAGAGAAAGAGAAGAGAGAGAAAGGGAAAGAGAGAAGAAAGAGAGAAGAAAGAGAGAAAGAAAGAGAGAAAGAGAAGAGAGAGAGAGAAAGAGAGGAAAGAAAGAGAGAGAGAAGGAGAAGAAAGAGAGAAAGAGAGAAAGAGAGAAGAAGAAAGAGGAAAGGAGAAGAGAGAGAGGAGGCAAGAGGGAGCAAGAGGGAGCAAGAGGGAGCAAGAGGGAGCAAGAGAGAGCAAGAGAGAGCAAGAGAGAGCAAGAGAGAGCAAGAGAGAGCAAGAGAGAGCAAGAGAGAGCAAGAGAGAGCAAGAGAGAGCAAGAGAGAGCAAGAGAGAGCAAGAGAGAGCAAGAGAGAGCAAGAGAGAGCGAGAGCGAGAGCAAGAGAGAGCGAGAGCGAGAGCAAGAGAGAGCGAGAGTGAGAGTGAGAGAGCGAGCGAGAGAGAGAGAGAGAGAGAGAGAGAGAGAGAGAGAGAGAGAGAGAGAGATTGATTTTGGGAAATGAGTGTGTGGGGAGTTTTGAACCAAGTGAAAGAGTATATGTGGTTGGGGATCTCAATGCTAAAGTGGGTAAAAATGGTGTGGAGAGAGTAGTAGGTAAATTTGGGGTACCAGGGGTAAATGAAAGTGGGGAGCCTTTAACTCTTTGACTGTCGCAGGCCCCTTTCTGAAACTGTCATTCTATGTCGCAAAAGTTTTGGAAAAAATTATTTTTTCTTATGAAATGATAGAGAATCTTTTCCCAATGGTAATGACACCAAAAGTATGAAATTTGATCGAAAACTCACGGAATTACACTCCTGCGAAGTTAGCAGTCTCAGCGACATATACGCATCAGCAATTTCACCGACTTTGAGCCATGTTTTTGACAAATTCCGCTGTTCCAGTTGAAAAAACTCATAGCTATTTCTTTAGACCTCCATTTCTTCTATCAGTTGAGTACAAGAAACTGCCCATTTACCGATTTGAACTACCCAATAAAGTGGTCAGAAATTGGCAATTTGGCCAATTTCATGCAAATTAAAAAAGATGCCAATTTCAAAATAGGGTCCAGAATAAACAATGCAGACATTCTTGACACTAAAATAACATATCCTCTGTTCATTAGTCATGTCTCTAGGCCCCTCTTATATTATTATTGCTTTCTATTTTGATTTTTTATTCATACAAAAAAATACAAAATTTACTGTTATGCAGACTAATGCATTATTGTAAAAATGGTATAAATATCAG